GATTGGCTCGTAAAGCTTCACGTAAAGATCTTCCTTGGTATCAGGATTGAACAAAAGGGACGAAGGAGATATGTATCGGGCCTAAATGGCCTGGAGAAAGCTGTTGCCTGTTGGAAACGACTCTTTTTGTGGACGCCTGACGACACGTGATGGAATTCTCAACGTTTGACATTGACAAATGACACTGACAGGTCACAGCTTGTTTAACTTTGACTAAATCGACAACGACGACATTGACAAGCAGTTCAATTTAGGTTCAACCCAGGCATGCTTCAACAATACCCTTTGTTACCCCTTGTTGAACCCCGATATTAAGCTGGCTGAACATGAGGCGATTATTTCATATATATATATTGCTTGTGGGTGAATAAAAGCAGCGTTTTCATCCCCAACTCTGACCAGAATTCTTGTCAGTGCATCTTTCGCCAGTGACCAACCCTCTTGCACCGATTACTTCCATTCAGACCTTGTCCACTGGTATCTGTCTGAGCCTCGTCATCGTCTCGTCAGTCCTTGAATCGCCGGCCGATTTAGTTGTTGTCTCTAGCAATTCTCGTACAAGGGTCATAGCAAAGTCCAGCGCCTTAATATTTCACTCCAATGCCTTGCCAACGTACAGTAAACATCAAGTCGAGTTCCAAGGCATTGAAGGAGGTGGATCATCCAAACTCTGTGTTTGCCTTGGACTTTGATTTCTATTCAGATGGGAAGCCTACTTATTTGGCACGTGCGTTAGGTCATTGGGCTTTATTTATCACAGATTTCTAATAAATTTGTCTTCTCTGCTACCAGGGGTGTTGACCAGCCTCTTCGTCATTTTAAATATGCACGGCGAAGAGGAGCTTGGTAGGGAGATCTCAATTCAGCATGATCTCATCACTCATGGTAAATAATTCTCTTTCAACCCATGACACCGTGTCAGATAAATATCTAATTTACTACTATGTCTCTGAAGTCCAATTGCAAGCCGACAAAAACCAGGAGGAACTCGGCAAAAGGATGATTGCTTACATTGACATCTCTTTACATCGATTAGTAAGTCGCCGTTTTCTATGTGGAATTTCAAATCAGCTTCAACTCTGTTATCAGTACACGAATCATTATATCTCTTATGTCCTTCGCAGGGATGAGAATGTCCGAATTACAACAACTGAAAGCTTGCAGAAAATGTGAATTCCTACTACTCGTATTTGCTATGAGGACTCCCTAACAATCACACATCATACCCATTACAGATTCAAGAAACTTAAGGATCGAGTGATAGTTTCCAATAAATTTAATTCTCTCACCGAGCTCAGCTTCAAAGAGCATAGGGCACTTTGCAATTCCTTCCACACTCTGATGAAAAGAAAGACTATGGCAATTGAAAAGGCTCGTACACGAAAACAAGTAGGTGTAGATACTATCCTCCTTCCATTCTTCTCTAAGCTTATCTTTGCTTTTCAGCTGCTTGAGGAAAATTTGGTGCTCAGAAGGGACTTGGAAGAAGCCTTAGCTGGCCAAATTACAGGGCAATCTAATCCTCTACCGCATACATCTTCTATCGATTCAAGTTCCTCTTCGGGAACTATGTCCACAGATTCATTTGTTATTTCTGATTCATTGCAATCTACGAGTTTAAAGTATGCCTATTTAATATTTCAATTTCCTGCACAACCCAATTTAAAACAAAACCTTTTTGCAGACAAATTTTGGAGACACCAATTCGCAAAAAACCTATGCTTGATATCCCGGGTGCTTACCCCACTCCTGAATCGCTACCAAGACGACTGGGGACAGACACTCATGCACAAACCATTTCGCCTCCCGGTACGCCCACGTATGGTTATCACACCGACGGACAGGAAAGCCAAGATATGGATGTGGGTATTGCCACATCATTGGCTGCTAACTCTCTTCAACACCTGCTTCCTATCTCTGAGATTTTTGGCCCGAACTGGACTTCTGTAGGTTTCCTTTCGACGCTGGATATGAAGTTTTTCTGACAGCCCCGTTTCTTACCCAGGAATACGTCAAATCTTCCCTTTCTGCAGTTGGGCTTTCAACGAACAACCAAGAATGGATCTGTTCATTGATTTCTAGATGTAGAGTAACGGAAGAGGCGAGTGTTGTACTGCAAAGTATTTGTCGAGTCCTTTCTAATGGTCAACAACCTTACAGGAGTCAGGAGAGCACAAGACCGAGGTGAGTATATTGCTTTTATTTTACCGAATGGTCCTAGGATGCTCAACTATTTTATCAGGCTCATTTTCTCAAATCCCGGCTGCTACGTCGAATGTTGCGCGGTCGTGTATCCGAAGTTATAAATGAAAACAAATGGAAACGGAAATATGAGGCTTTGAAAACAGGTTTTCAAGCTCACCGCACTATCAGCAAAGCCAAGGTTGAGTTCTACACGCAGTGTTTCCAGACTATGGGAGCAATTGCATCTCATGCGCAAAGTTTCAATTTTCCTACTCTATAAATTTATCTCATATGCTGCCCATGGCACTTTGACTATGTAGTACTGTGTACAATTTTCTATTGCCTACATCTTGCATTAAACCCTCGTACCAATGATATTGGATACGTATTCTCCCTCATGTTTTCCCAACAAATGGTATTTTCAATCATCATGGAATAAAATTGATGATAATTATCGAGCAAAACCCGAAGAAAATATAATGGGTTGTAATCAACTCGGAATCTTGCGTCGCTTTGCGACGATGGGAACTGAAGTCGAAGACGGATAGGTATTGGAAAAGAGGTGTCAAATGCCATAGGACGATCTTTCCAGAGTGTTGGCTCGCAGGTCAGAAGGATATCAAGATCTGACCTGGAAAAGTTGGAATAGATAATCACAAGTATGTGACAAAGTAGTTCTAGTGGAGGAACAAACAAACATGAGTGGTGATTATTGCAATCCGAAAGCAGGAATTAGTATGCAGTATATCGTGGTCTATGTAGCGATGCAATAAAGATAGGTATCGGGTTGTACTTTTAGAGATATGCTCGAGCGCTTCTCCGAGCCATCTGAAAACATACATTAGTCGATATGAATTTTCATTGCTTATGCGTGAAGACTTGCCTCGATGACTTTCCACCCGCCTGTGAGCTCGTCATCCAGCTCTTCAGGAATACGAGTGACCGCGGCGACATAAGTACATTGCTCGACTTTATTCTCAGCACCGACAACAATTTCTGCAGTCTTTGCGTTTCTGAACAGCAACATTTCCTGAGTGGAGAACGAAACTAGGAACACGGGAACATCATTTTCCAAGATTTTAGCATCAGACACCTTTTGAAAAAGAGATTAGGAGGATGTTGCTATAATCGAAAGAAAGACACGCACATCAACTTGACGAATATCAAGGACTTTGCTGTCACTGATTAAGCCTTGGCGCAGGAAATGTTCCATGGTGGCCCAAAGGACATTGTATGTCTGTTCACAAATGGTAAATGAATACGGGTTGTAGTAGAATCCTAAAAAAGACTTACAGCTTCGCCACACCATGCTTTCAGAGCTGCTTGGTCCGCGGATAGGTAAGCGTCGACGATCTCTGGGACAATATATTCCCTCAATTCTCGCTCGAAGTTTTCCCGGTTGAAGTCGGGATCCATGGCCTTCATGAGACGCATTACCTGGGCAGTCTCGTTCTCGTCGAACCACGACCCAATAGTTTCGGTCACTGCACGCATAGAAGAGACGACCGGGTTCTCAGACTCGTCGTAGGATTGTCGCAGCTCAGTGAGCTTTCTTAGCACGGGATTCGTCTCCTTCATCTTATTCCACGCCTCTTGCTTCGGCGAGTCTTTGTGAAGAACCATCGCTTGTCCCGCTCTGCAGGAGATGGTTAAAACATGATGGAAAATACCATGCGACAATGTGCGTACTCTGGATTCGCGACGATGCGATTTGGTCCCAGACCCGAAGCACGGCCTGCTTTGGCCAGTCGCTTTTGTCTTCGAAGTCGACGAGCTTCCTTCTCCTCAAATCCCGCATGTTTTGCGCTGCCACTGTCGTCAAGTGCGTCGACGAGAGTTTCAGCAAGGGTTTTGTAAGCTGCAGTTTTACGAATAGGTTCTGTGGATTTTTCGACAGCAGATGATACTGCCGAAGTGGCTCGCGAAATCTGCAGGACATAATTTAATTAGATTGTGGACGTCAGGGCAGGACGATACGCACCGCGCGCATAACTTCGCTCTCCTCCATGCCCTTCAAGGCTTCAGCGACGGCGTCTCCAACTTTCACCCCTGTCTTCTTGAGTTCTTCCGCAGCAGCGCGTAATTTTGGGTTCTCTTTGATGCTCGAAGTCAACTAAATCCACAGGTCAAACGCAAGCAGGGTGTACAGAAAAAGTGAAACGGACTCGTGCGCGCTCATATGCCGCCCTCGCCTGTTTCATTGCCTCGGAGTCCTGGAACTTTTCAACATCTCCCTGAAGCTGCTTGACATTGTCTTGAAGTTCTCTGTTCTTTCGCAATTCATCCTTTAAGACGTCGACGAAGGTCTGAAATGGGGATTTGGGGACTTCATTTTGTCGCCGCGATGACGAATGAAAAGCAAGAGCCTGTGAGGCAGTGGTTATCCGGAAAGGCGGCGGATGTGCAAATTGACGCGATGCCTGAGCACGACTTCGGTTGGCTGCACGAGCGGCGAGACTTTGCAGATTCCGTGGCAGCATGGCAGTGGCGGTAGACGAAGGTATGTTTTAGCGGTCTGTCCAAATTTCGACTCGTCCCGATCACGGGGTAATTCTCAGCATCACGTGATACTCGTCCTTCGTCGTTCGATCGTGATCAATGCCATTAGGGCCTGCGTCTGCTACTGAGCTAATACCACAGATCCATAACGTTGGAACGCTTATGGTTGAGCTGAGCTTGCCAATCATCCCGCAAATGCGCATTGATATTTGTCGCACGCTTATACTTACAATGTTACATTTGACCTGCCTCGTGCCAGTACTTATACTTAGTCACATCTGGCATGCCGTGAATCTTTGCAGTTGAGATTCTTCATCGGCCTTATGGTCTAGTAGTATGATTCCTCCTTTGGGTGTCCACCTGACAGTGGCTTACGTACTCCATGGAGGAGGTCTAGGGTTCAATTCCCTATGAGGCCCTCTTTTTTATACAGCATTCAGACTCCAGAGCATTCCTTATTAAAGAACCCTTCTTGTTTTTGAAATTTTGAGGTAAGTGGTTGACAATTGAATTTTAACTTTTGACTTGTTGTTAACAAAATTAACAATTTAATTGAGGTTTGGAATTTGAAGAGCGTTGAGAGGCATATTAATAGCTTTGCTTCGAACAGGACACCACCCTTAATTTCTGATTACTTAGGCCTTTGAATTTTGCTACCTCTTCTTAACATAGCTTAGCTTATGCAATTGAGGGCATTCAAAATTTAAGCTTTAAAATTCAAGTCATGGAGTTGCGACAGGAAAATAAGGGCCTAGTCGACACCTACTGGTCCGGACGGACATGTTGGGCGCCTAATTTCAGCGGCCTGATGGTCTAGTAGTATGATTCCTTGTTAGGGTGCGAATCAGCGCCGAGTTCGAGGAGGTCCCGGGTTCAATTCCCGGTTAGGCCCTGCTGTTGTACCTTTTGACAAATTTATGGCTTTTGCAGCTGTCCACGGTAAACTAACTTGTGAGTAACTTGAGAATGACTATCAAAATCTCAACTTTTGAGTTCTAATTCCTGGACTCAGAAGTTTTACTATCCTTGTAAAACTGTAAATTGTTAGCTCTAATTACATAGCCTACTTATCCTAAAAAATTCATTATCTGAATAGCTTTCTTCGTCTTACGGCCGCGGCTCTCCAGCGGGCGCTTATTTTTGTCGGCCTGATGGTCTAGTAGTATGATTCCTTGTTAGGGTGTAAAGGCGCTTAACTCGAGGAGGTCCCGTTTTTTCCCCTTCACTCTCTAGAGCACGTATTAATTTTGAAAACAGACTTGGAACTTGTGACTTGGAAGTCGGATCTGACTCAAATCCTAATAGAAATTAAGGTACTCATTGTGTATTATTAGCCCTACAATATTGTCTGTCTAGGTCATGCAATACTGATCTATTGCGTAGAGCAGAGTTACAATATTGAATTAACAACAACCCTATTACTATTGTGTTATTCGGAATATTGAGTCTTTCCTTATGAATAATGAGAAATAAACCAAAAATAAACAGTATGTATGGGCGCTAATTTTGCTATAAACATCTCGCAGTCTAGTACGGACCTGATCGTCGAAATAAACATTCATCGGCCTGATGGTCTAGTAGTATGATTCCTTGTTAGGGTGCTTCGGTACACAAGTCGAGGAGGTCCCGGGTTCAATTCCCGGTTAGGCCCTATTTTTTGTTTCTTCTCAAGGTTTGAATGATTGCCGGTCGGCGGTGGCTGGCGGTGGGGACGTTGCCCCAGCGGCCAGCTGGCAGCCAGCCGCCGTGAGCACTGCCTCGCGCACCGCGTTCTGGTCTGTTACTTATTCATATCATGCTTGACGATAGATTTCTACCAGTGCGGTCGCGTGATGAACGGTGACAGCCCTATTAAACGATATTGAACGGTGAACTCGCGCTCACGCTCAACTCAGTTTTTCTCTCCGAGTCCTGCTGCCCTTTCTGTTTGTCTGGACGGACAACCTGCCACACTGCTGTGCTACCTGCGGTTTCATCTGGAATACTATTTCGTGTCAAGGGTCTGTCTCTGAAACCAAACCTTCCCCGCCTCTGGTCAATCTAACGACTGCGCATTTACAACCGATCCTGCGCTATTCCGATTCAGAAGCTGCAGGATTGACATAAGTATTGCGCCGCAGCCTGATAGCCATCCGACCTCACCTTCTATCTCTCCCCTCTGAAAAAGATATTCCAGCCGCAGCGACGATGATTGTTGAATCCTCCGCGCAATCCTCTCTCTCATACTCTGACCTGCTCGAAAAAGACAAAGTTGCGCCCATGGTCAATAAAGCAGCACCTATGGACAATCCCCCTGCTTATAGCGACTTGGGCAGCGAGATAGGGCACAGTGGTTCCGCCAGTCGTGGTCCGAGTCGCGGTCGTCGCGGTCATCGTGGGCATCCAGGACACAACCAACAGTGCGGTCACAATCCACAAGCCTTTGCTAATAGTTCCCCCTCTCCGACGGTCGATCAGGTGCATATCTACGACCGAAAACATAATATTGAAGGTATGGACATTTCACTTTTAGAGTGTATCATCAAAATTGCAACTCTTTCAGGTACTTTCTATATCGACCCAATGGTGCCTACGCTTGACCCAAGTCGTCGGCACAAATCAAAATCAGACGAGACATTACCTCATGCCTCCTTCCGCACTCGTCATAACACTATCGATCTGAATATTGGCACGACTGGGGACGTTCACAAAGCCGCCAAAGTCAACGTTAACGTTGCCAGTAGGGATGGATTCATCAAGGTCACCATGGTATGTAACACTTTCCTTGTTATTTTTATTCTCTAAAGCAAAATGTTAGCTTCCAATCCCTCCATCCAGACCGCGCATGGGTCTGAATGTTTCTTCCCGTCATGGTCGGTCATTATATACTATAATGAATACAACTTGAAATGCTAACGCTACTGCTCCTTTAGGAACCGTTGCTGTTTTTATTCCGGAAGACTTCGTCGGGATGGTCCAGCTTACATCAAGAAAAGGCGCCTTGAAGGTGTTGCCCATTCTGGCTGGTCGCACGAAAACAATCAAGGCCTCTGATCGCGAGATGATCTTTATAATTGGAAACGCCAGCTATGACTTCGATGGTTCGCGGGAGGCATCATTTTGCGACCTTTCAACGCGCAGCGGCGACATCGTTGTCGGGCTCAGCGGTCGAGACCAATATGTACCTCCGGTTGGGTTTTGGCAAAAGCTTGGTGGGATGCTGAAAGGCTAGAATGGCCTCTATTATACCATGCGATACATATCGTCATGGACTCTACATATACTTACCTCTCAGGTCAACATACTCTCGAATGAGTGTTCCGGATACCGACATCTCAAACATTTGTTGTCATGCTTATCAGTACCTATCCTGTATTACTTACTAGTCATCGAACCTTTTACGTATCCTCTACTTACTTATATTCGAGTCGTTACTCCTATGATCGCTATGGTACTCCTTCTCTGCGAACTCGAATGACTGCTTCTAAATTCTGACTACACTGGGTAGATAATAATACCAGTCAATTACCAGTATTGGGCGGGTGGGTAAGTGAAGTTGCTGATTAGGTGCAGTATTCTCTAATTCAAACGAAATGCAGAGCGACAGCTGACCTGAGAAACCGAACTTACCGGAGGCCCACCATAGACTTTTGGGATCGGGAACAGGCTCACGCTTCAACTTCAAGAGATCAAATTATAACGCCAGCGTGGATCTCATAGTAGCCCAGATCTACCAGCTGAGATTCACTAAAAATGATCGTCCGCCCAATGCTGCATCTCGTCCGGGTTTGTAGCGACGAATATCCCCACTGTCTTCCTCCCTTCCTCTCTCATGGACCATCCCGACAGCAAAGTGGGGTGTTTTGGCGGTTTCTTTGCCAAAAGACGTCGAAGGGCTACTGAAATAGACGAGCAAAGCTCTTCTCGAGCTACGCAAGACCTCCTGCCCCAGATTCCCCACGAAAAGTCTTCGGATCTTAAGCGCGTTGTAGAGGAAAAAAAGGTCAGCACTTTTTCATAAGGATTGCTACACTTTTAATGAAATTAAGCAACAGGAATTTCGTACTTCAGCCCATTCTGTGACTATTCCTACGGCAAACAGGATGATTGGTGGATCGTTGGGCAAGACCAACTTCCATGTTATTCCCCCGAAGCCGACGTATACAACGTCGATATTTGCAACGTCGTTGAGCAGACTTTGGACAAATACAATTCACAGCTTCGTCAGCTCAGTCTGCAAATTCATGGTTTGATTATTTTGCTAATGGCTCAATTTGTACCATCCCTGAGTACTGAAATTACTGCCAGATCACCCGGAAACGATGTTCGAGGAAAAGTAAAGTTTCCTGTAGTGATCTTCAACTCCTGAAAATTAACCAACTATTTTACAGGTTCGCCCATGATCTCTTGACTGATTTTATGGCCAAGCAAGGCTTCAAAGTCACTAAGCACTACCTAGGCCTCGAGACTGCGTGGAGAGCAGAATACTCGCAAGGCTCAGGCGGGCGTGTCATTGGCATCAATTCTGAAATGGACGCCCTCGAAGGATTGGGCCACGCCTGTGGGCACAATCTCATTGCTATCAGCGGAGTAGGCGTGGCAATCGCTCTCAAAGCCGCACTTGAAGCTCGTCGTCAAGTCTCTGGCAAAATCGTGCTTCTTGGGACACCAGGTAAATGCTGGACTGTATATTTGCGAAGGCGTAACTTAATAATTATTTGATACTTACTTATTTAGCCGAGGAAGGGGGAGGAGGCAAGGTTATCCTGCTCGAACGAGGAGGATATGACGGAATGGATGCATGCGTGATGTACAACCAATATCAAGCTCTTTGATTTCGAAGCATTCTCAATTAACCGTTCATGTCCTCTCCAGGTGTCATCCCTCTGCTGGTATTGCACATTCAACTAGCATTGGAAGTACTACAGCCATGCAAGCCATTTCCGTCGAATATTTTGGTCATAGGTGTGCACCTGGACCTTCTTTTGAGGGCGTACTTGAAGGCTTAATTGGCTTCGATCTAGTGCTCATGCAGGAAATGCTCCATGGTAAGCAATGAATATTAAATGCTTTGTCGTCTTCCGAACAAGCTAATGTAATTTTAATGCAGGGAAGGCACAAATGCTCTAGACGCCGCCTTTCTTGCGTACTCCAGCATATCTATGCTACGACAACAAATGAAACCGGACCATCGGCTGCATGGCATTGTTGAAGGCAAAAATTGGCTGCCGAATGGTACGCAACATCCCTTCCTTTTCGGACATGCACCCCTCAAATATCTAAAACACGGACGCGCATAGTAATTCCGGATTATTCAAAAATGAAGTGGATAGCCAGAGCGCCGACTTCTGTAGAGTTGGAGGCCCTTGTCAAGCGTGTGCTCAATTGTCTACAGTGAGTTGAAAAAAGAGGATGTGAATGATGCTCTTCTTGAGAATGC